TCAAATAAGCGCCCCTCCTATCGTCCAAAATTTTAACATAGGCGCCTCCCCTGGAATAAGCACCCCCTCCCCCCTCTCTGGTTTATGGAAGAGTGCTGAGACAACAGAAAATGTATAGTTTTGGTCGTGTTCAATCAAAGCAAGTGATTATCGACTCATTCAAGCACTGCAAATTGACCGTCGCAACTGATGGTAGTGAAGATCTGCTGATTCATTACCTAAAGCCCAACCAACCTTGTGCAGCAGACCTACACTGTAAAGGGGTTATACTACGTAGTTCTTCCCTTCTGGGTCTTCTGAGAGACTGACACATACATATATTACAACAAAACCGATCATATCTGACCACGATTTGGGAAAAATTAAATGAGTGCAGAACCCGATTAAGCGCTTCCCTCGAATAAGCGCCCCGCGTCTTCTTCTAAACTTGAAATAAGCGCCCCGGGCGCTAATTCGAGGATTTACGATATTATTGCAAATAGGAAAATACGTATTCAGAAGAGCTGCGTAAGTATCAAGTTGTGTTTATTACTCTTATAGATTTGACAGCCATCAACGAGTGTGAGAGCAATCCTTGTCTAAACAATGGAACATGTTTTGACCAACTAGGTGGATGCAGCTGTGTACCAGGATTCTATGGGGATCGATGTGAAACAGGTTTTTGTCAGTTTGTTTATTTGTTTTTAATCGTAATTTCTTGTATTAATCTAAATGTGAAGAACCAGCCTGATGTCGATGGCGGCATTCACTAAAGCCGTTTGAAGCTTCATGTTTAAAAGATATGAAGCGTCATTAGAAGTTTTGCTTTTCACGAGGCACTGGAAAGGACTTCACCGTTAGTATTAATTTCTGACTGCAAATTTACAGCTTTAGGAACAAGTCTCTAGAATCATAAATGTATCACAATTAACAGCTAGTAACATAAATTATTTAAAATGGGCAAATCAATATGCATGTTGCAATTGTTCGTTCTATTTCTGATCATTTCTTCTCATAAGAATCGACATATGCAACCGAAGTCAGTGTAGGGGCACCAATTCAAACAGTTCAATGCTCAATGTTACGATGAACCATATCAATTCCACGGTTTCACCATCAGGCTCCATATATGCAGCAGCTGCAGTAATCATATGATTTCCTTTCCACCGCGTTTGTCATTATGCTAATTTTTAGATCCTGGTTCAACAAAAGCAACGGTCGAGAGATATAGCTTCTTTGGAAGTAAACAACTGATTCAATACGTTTAAACTTAAGTTCGCAAACATAATTCCGATAAAAGAGGTAAAATAAAAACCCGGGAAAATTTTGCTAGGCCGAGGAGCTCGTTTAGGAAATAAAATTCTGCTTTGCCAGATATTCAGATGGAAGATCCGTTTATCAAGTACATTTTATACCTTCCATTGCAATAACACAGTACAAAACACTGCTTTACCAATAATGCGCAACTTACAGCAATAGAAGACCTTTATCTTGCAGTACTTATTTCCTTCCTCTCTGTATACTAGTGCAACGTTACTGTTGTTTTACTGTTGTGTTACTACTTTATTACTGCTCTGTTACTGATATGTTACTGCTGCGACACTGCTGTGTTTCTAATGTGTTACTGATGTTTCATTGCTGTGTTACTATTATTTAACTGCTGTGCTACTGCTGTGTTACTGTTGTGTTAATGTTGTGTTACTGTTGTGTTACTGTTATGTTACTGCTGTGTTAACATTATGTTACTGCTGTGTAACTGTAGTGTTATTATTGTGCTACTGCTGTGTTACCGCTGTGTTACTGTTATTGTGTTACTGCTGTGTTACTGTAGTGTTACTGTTGTGTTACTGTTGTGTTACTGTTTTGTTACTGCTGTGTTACTGCTGTGTTACTGCTGTGTTACTGTTGTGTTACTGCTGCGTTACTGCTGTGTTACTGCTGTGTTACTGTTGTGTTACTGCTGTGTTACTGTCGTGTTATAGGCCCTTTGCATTATCCGGTCACATGGTACAAAATCACACATGCTGGTGTGCAAGTTGCACCGTGGGACTTCCAAAACAATGCAACTCGTACCATTCCACCTGGACCTGACTTTGTTTTGGAAGTCCCACTGCGCAACTTGCGCACCAGCATGTGTAATTTTGTACCATGTGACCGGATCGTGCAAAGGGTCTATTGCTGTGTTACTGCTGTGTTACTGCTGTGTTACTACTGTGTTACTACTGTGTTACTGTTGTGTTAGTGTTGTGTTACTGTTGTGTTACTGTTGTGTTGCTGTTTTGTTAAGGCAATGTGTCTGGTATGCTCCTTTTACCGATATGTTACGGCTGTGTTACTACTGTGATGCTGCCGTTACTGTTGTGCTTCTACTGCATACTACTGCGTTAATTCTTCAATACTACTAAATTACTTTTTCGGTATCGCTGTTATACGGCTGTTACTGCTCGTTTCTTACTGTCGTGTTGCTGGTGTTTAGCTGGCGTGCCACTGGTATGTAAATGTTGTGTTACTGTACAGGATTTGCTATTTGACACTCGCACGCAGTGATTTTCATTCTCTTTATGGAGATTTCCTCCTTTTTGT